TCCTGGTTTTCCTTCCAAAAGTAGCTCATTACACACCGACTCGCAACTGTATTCATAGATCATGACTCGAACTTCGTTACATAACAACCGCTAACCTTTTATAAGACGAATTGACACGCCATAGAGGGAAGAAAAAGTGTTGCTAGTTGCAAATCTCTTTTCATTTTCAGCTAAACATCTTCATGTTCAGCCTCAAATCAGTTATTTTTTAAGTAATTACCTTTTGCTGCAATTGGAGTGACATTTCTTTGGTGTCCATCACCTTTCCACATCTAGAGATTGATGTAATTGCCCATTCTTTTCCGTAAAGTAGTGCAATCTATGTATAGCATCCATGAAGAGCAATTATGAAGTCTTAAGCCACAGGTACCCAGTTTGATTTAGGTCAGAGAATGATGGGTACATTCCTTTCCATTCTAATATGTTTTGATATAAACCAGTCGATTGACTGATGGACCTCCAGAATCCCCATTTATCTAACAAGTTTCTTTAAGGATCGGCCTGTACGCGACTCCTTTCATCCTCTGATCAAATCTCAACAGCTTCATTGCCTTTGAAGAAAAGCATCGATCCACCATAATGCTGTCTCTTCTATACTTTACCATGGGGATAGTGTTTTCAGAGTCATGTGCAGGGTTACTTTTCAGCAACAAATCTGGCATAGTCAAAATATTTCTTTTTGGTTTGTTAATTTTCAGTGTATTAGTTTATATTTTCAACAGATCCCTCCCACCTGAGCTGTGAACCTTTTCAGTTCTTCCAGAGTTATCGTGGGAACATCGACTGCTTCTTTGAACGATACTCTCCTTCCTTACCATTTCGATCAAGTTGGATGGCCACGTCTTGGTAAGTTTACAGTTACGCTATTTCAGATGATCCTGAGGTATTTATAGCCCAGCCCAGCTACAAAGTTCTCCACATCATTCTGCTTTGTCCTTTGGTCTTTTGGATTCTGTTTACTAATCACAAACCTTTGAGAACTTCCTAGAACGGCTCTCTATTTCACTGCTGGAATAAACTACAGAGACAATTTACTAGCTTGGTAACATCTGAAAACAATTTGTTGTACTGGATTTTAATTGGGGCTACCAACTGAAAGAGACTGATTATATGCTTGCCAAGTTTAGCAAATTTTTATTAGTATAAAATAAATTTGAAACCCCTATTGTAGACTGAAAAGAAAAAAAAATGTTTCTGAAGTTTGTAGTTGTAAAGAGCAAAGAGTAAATAATATGCAATAGATATAAGCACTTCTGAAAGAAAATGCAAATCTGAAGAGCAGCAGATTTTTGTTTAAGATTTTCTCTCTTTTTATCTTGAGTTTGAAATATAAATATCTTATTTTAAGTGTCATGCAACCAGCCTATTATCTATTGCATTTAAAAGAAAAAAACACACACACACACAAAATGTTTCTGCAAGAAAGGCTACTTGGAGAAACTGGAAGAAAATCGCTGATCATTTTGTTGACCGATTCAGAGTCTGACCTAAAATGACTCATTATAGACATTCGCTGATATACGAGTAAGAACAGAAGCTCAGGATGTTGCTTGTGAGGATCCTGCTGCAAACACACAGATGAATACTGATGAACAGTGCAGTATATCAAATGAGAAAAATGAAGCACAGCAAACAGGGGAGGTGCTGTATTCCTAACACGCAATTTGCAAAGCGAAGACTTCGAGTGCTTGTCATGTTTAGTTTAAACCAAATACGTCACAATCACACTTCATCAGTAATTCTGCAACAATAACCAACTAATTCATACAGTGACACGGGATAAACACTGCTCGCAGCCTGATGTGTAAATATACAACACCTGAACCATCAGTATGGTAATGGATGCACTGCTGGATACATTAACATATTAATGAGAATTTGGTTTCAGGAAGCAACGGGTGTCTGCAAATGCAAGTGCTTGTGTGAAACTTCACTTTTTAGTCGATGTGCAAGGATGGATTATTATGAAACGGTTTTGTTGGGATTGCTCAAAAAAAAAAAAAAGGTCTCGTTTGTGTCCCGTCACAGGTGAATTATTATTCCAGCATCCTTATCTTGGAGTTGGGCCCCTTCAGCGCAAACATAATGACGTGCTCCACACTACGATCGCAGCTACCCAGCATGGGACGAGCTCAGAAGGAATGCTCAAGCTGATTTCAAATGAACGCCAGAAAACAAGTGGAGACATTTAAATATTAAGAGAAGAACAGTGCCAGCCTGCTGAGAGTTTCAAACAAGACCAATCTCAGGATAAAGCATCTTTTTCCTGCATTACTTGGGGCATAGCAGAAGCAAAAAAAAAAAAAAACTCATCTCATTTGAGGATGACACAAAGTGCCCTGTTGAATTGTCCAATGTGACTGACACCGCTCTCCTCTCCGTCTTTGCCTTTTCAATTAGCTTGATGACAGGTGCACAAACGAGAATCAATTACCGATCCTTTCGTATCCCTTGTGTCTTTATCACAATCTGTCCCTAGCCATTTCTCTCCTATTACTCCCTTAATACGTTACCCCTCCTCCACCTCTCCATTTTACCCCCTTTTTCTTTTTTTCTACCTCATCTTGGATTTTCACCATCTTCTCTGAACAGGTCCTTTCCCTCTCCTGCCTGCTTCACTGCAGCAGAGTGACAGATTGAGGAAAAAAAATAACAGAGGAAGCACATCAAACTGTGTGGATTATTACAACCCTACTTACAGATACACTACGCATAACCACGGCCAGCTATAACACCACAACAGGTAGCAGTAAACCTGAAGAAAGGTAACATTATAGCTGCACAGATCTGTGTCGGCTCCCCTGATCTCCGGCTTCGCCTTGGTGTGAGGGCCAATAAGATATTTAGACGTTGCTTGGTTCAATGACTTGGCAAACACTGGAGTGAAATGTGTTTGGAAAAAATCAAAAAAGCACTGTGAGTTATTTAAAACACTGATGTCACTGCAGGTTTTGGGGTGGGTCTTGCTTATTGAGGAGTTGCATGGTGGAAGTTTGCCACCTGCTGGTAATCAACATCACCTTCTCTGGCATCCGTCATCAAGTGGCACATTACTCTATTATCACAGAGGACATTTTAAATATGTGTAAAAAAAAAAGGTAGCAAAATGTTTTTTTTTTTTTCAAAAATTCATTTTTTTCCCCCAGGTTTTTTTTTTTTTTTTTTTATTTGTGCAAATATGTATAGTATCAATCTGGACATTCTGACTGCTTAAGTGTTAATCAGAAAGGCGGCTGGTTTTAGCAGATAGAGCTCTGTAACCCTGACCTGAAGGTAAAAGTCTAAACTGTGTCTGTTCATGGTGTGAGAGGACAACACAGACCTTAGCTGCCCTTTTCCTGACCATAGATCTGTACAAGTCCTGAGAGGAGAGAGCCACAGAGTGATGGATGAGCAGAGGACAGACTGAGAAATGGCTGTGTAAAAGATAACCAGCTGCTCTTATGGTAGGTTGTATTTCTTGAGTGGCCACTGTAAGTACAGTCTCTGCTGGCCCCTTTTCTGAACAGTGTGTGAGGATCATCTCAGGTCCCGAGAAAGGGTGGTTCCAAGAAGTCGGACGTGGTCCGCAGTGTTTTTGAGGATTGTGAGGGGAAGGAGTGCTAATGGTATTCTCCAAAAGTCCACCTTCATCTCCACTGTCTTTTCTCTACTGTTTTGAGTTCCAGGGGATTCTGACCACACCAGTGGGCCACCTGATCTGCCTCCTGTCAGTATGCAGACTCATTACCCTCCTGGATCAGGCCAATAACAGCGGGCGAACTCACTACCTGGGTGGTGCCCATCTTGATGGTTCTTCTTCAGGAAAAGATGTTCGCCAGCCCTCACCTGCTGCTACTGGTCAGTCAGGAAGCTGGTGATCCGCAGACAAGTGGATGCCACTACAGATGAAGTCCACAAATAGGATCCTGGCATACATCTCTAGTTGATCGTGGTGGTGCAAAATGAAGTGCAGCACAAAGTCAACCGCATCATCTGCCAAAGATTGCGAGATGAAGAGTGGAAAGGAACAGAATCCAAATTGCTTAAGATTCAGTGTGATGCTTCCACAGCCAGTGATGATTTAGCATGAAATAAAAAATTTGCTGATGAAGTTCCATTATCCCCCCCACCATCAAGTCCAAAGTCGGTATCGTTAGTCTAAGGGAAAACTTTGAAGGGAACCTATTATGTTTTCTTAGGATAGGTCTGTGGGCTACACAAAACTGGTCTGCATGCGTCTTTTCGAGTCCTCTCTCATTAGAGAAGCAACCTGTGCTTCCTGAACACCTCAGAGCCTTATATTGATCTCCTTCATGCAACGCTGCATTGACACAGTAATTCATGCAAAAGGAGGCCCAAGTAGACATAGATTAAAGCAGGTCAACATTTTTCTTGTATTAAAATGCATTATTCCCTGCAAAAGATTATTTGGATTGTTTGTTTACTCAAAATTATAAATAAACAAATGCTTGAAATACATCTGTGTATTAAACTATATATTTCAGTTTCTGAATTCAATTAAAATTTATTTTGGATTATATCAAGGTAAACTTGCACACTGAACTATTAATTGCAATCTAAAAAAGAAAAAAGACTGCAATTATTCTGTTCAAATTATGTGGCACAGCAACTTCAATTATACAATATGCCTCTGCAGAGACAAAGTCAAGTCTACACTGAATAAAAAATGCATACCATCTTCTGTTTGCCTTAGAATGAAATGTAATAACTGTAAAATTCAATCTGAAGAAAGATAATCTGACAGCTCAGATGGGATTGTAGAAACATCTGAACTCTGATATATCATCTTTGGAGTATGAAGTCCAATATGTACTCAGGAAATTTTAAAAAAGTAAAAAAAAAAAAAAAAAGGCATTTGATTTTCTATGAGAAAATTATTCATGTGACAATGCGATAAACATATTCTCACCCATGAGAAGATTGTAGCGACTGGTATGTATGAAGTACATCTTAATATTATTTAAATACCTACCTAAGATGTAAACAAATGTTCTTACCTCAGCGTTAACACCAGAGGAGCCATGCATCCTCCTGTAACTCCTGGTTGTTTCCTCACTTCAACACACCTGAATTGAATGGTTTAATTACTACAGCATGTCAGTCAAAGTACTCCACAGGTCTGTATATGGCATGTATTTGATTCAGGTGTGATGAAGCAGGGAAACACTCGCATGCATGGTAAAAAAAAAGTCTTCCCTCTGCTCAGAATTTTAATATGTGGTGTTTACCTGGGTCTAACAATATAAAAAGGGTATTACAAACAGATTCAACCATAAAAACATGCAAAGATACAAGGAATACTCAGAACTGTTAAAAAAAAAACTCCAGAAAATATCATTTAAAGGTGTCGTACTTTGAAACTGAACCCTTTTTTCACCCACACCGTAGAATAACTTAATTCCCTGGGTTTTAGACTTACATAAGAGGAAGAGAAGGGAGGGCAAACCTGCTTCTTTAAGGGATGATGTCCTGCATGTTTTGCATAAGCTCCTGCTCCGACACATCTCTAATCAGCTGACTCCTGAGCCCGTCACCAATTCTGCAGGAGCCTGCTGATGACCAACTCAAGTAACTCGGGTGTGTTCAAGCAGAGACGTGGGTAAATGTTGAGCAATATGCTGCATTCCAGTAATTCCGACTTGTCAGTGGGGGGAAAAAAAAATCACCTGGAACGGCCTCCGAAGTTGGATTTCCCACTTGAAAACAGAGAGCAACTCCAACTACCCGCAGTTAAGACTTGGAGGACTGACTCCGCGTTTGTGGCCGCTCCTCGCGTCACTAAGCTGCCATGGAAACATGTTTATTTTACAAGACAGAGTGCGTCTAAAATCAGTGTTGCATGTAGCGACTCCAAATACAAACTAAACAAATCAAAAGTGGTTGCTTTAAGAAAGTAGAGCTTAAAATCACGTTTGTAAGTGTTACTGTAAACAATGTCTACGGGCGTGTAAAACCGAACTGCACAGATTTGAATTTTAGTGGCGGATGGCAAACCAACTTAAGATGCATCTACCGCCACCTAGCGGACTGGCGTATGGACGTCAATGACTGTGTCTGTGGGAGTCGCGTCGCCATGTTGAATTTCCGACTTCTTACGTGTTACCTTGGGTTTTACGTCAAACCCCAGGAAGGCAACATTAAAATGCTAATTGAGTAAGAAAAAAAGAGATTAACACTCTCAAAAAAATCAACATTGAGTGGGAAGACTGCACGAAATCCTCGCCACCAAACAAACACAACTAAGCCAATGTGTTGCTTCCTGTCCATTGAATGAAGAAAATAGCTCAATTTTCCCATCTGGGTATTATGACTTGGAACAGTAATTTGGAGGTGAAAACAAAATTGTTCACTTTCACCACATGTTAGTCCATCTTTCCAGCTAGAATTGACTAATTGGTAGACATAAACTAAGATACTGTAAAACATAGTGGTGGCAGATCATCCTGAATTTTTATAGCAGGTATATCGTTGATTGTCCTGTGTGTCTGTTATTCCGTGATGGATTGGCAATCTGTCCAGGGTATACCTGGCCTTTCACTTAATGACTGCTGGAGACAGACAGCAGCCCCCATGAGACACTGCAAGGACAAACGGAGACAATGGATGGATCTAAAACAAGCAAATCATTGAAATGGTTTAGAAGGCTCTTGTATGAAGACATCAGGAAGTAAAGTCATTTATGTAGTTGTACCTCATACACAATGTACATAAGAATACTATACTATCTGAATAGTTCAATTTAGATTTAAATCAGTAATCAGTAAGCAAGACATTATTCAGCATAGCAGTCTTTTTTAAGAGTTAGGCCAGTCCATCACGTTTTATTTTCCCATTACTTAAGATGTTATGCAAAAATGATTCTATAAATAAAATGGATCAGTAACAATGAGCATAACATGCCAATGTGTGTATTAAATATGAAATAAATGCTATTGTGATTCATACTCATTGAACCTTTCCACATTTTGTCATTTTACACGAGAAATTTCTTAAAGATTTGCTGTGTCTTTTCTCCCAGTATAATTGACTCTATTCTGTGAAGCCATAAGAGGTTCGTCAGGGAACGTTAAGTAAAACTGTATCTTAAGCTCACGGGACACACGAGACAGATCAGGATCAAAGTTGCAGAGATTTTTAAGCCAGTGCCAAGTTAGAAAACAATTCCTTAAATATTTAACATCACAAGTCATGTAGGAGACAGAGCAAACATGTAGGCAAAGGTGCTCTGGTAAGATGAGACTAAAATTAACTTAATTCATACAAAATCCTATCAGCAGAGGAAAACAAGTACTGCACATCACTAAGCTTCTTCACCATGACAAATAGTGGTGGCAGCATTACGATGTGTTTTCATGTTTCTTTAGCAGCAACAGGTATGCTGGTCAGAGATTATGGAAATATGGAAGATTTACACAAGAAGGTTTGCAATTAGCAAAATTACCAGGGCAAAGTCACATCCTTCAAACAAATCCATCAATCGATTTAGTGCATTATAGTAGCCTAGTCAAAGCCTAAACACATGTACGTAATTGAGAATGTGTAGGAAGATCTCAAAACTGGTGTTCCCCAATCCTACCTCTAGATAGGCAAAGCTGATAGAGACGTACCCCAAAAGTGTTGCGACTATAATTAGAGAAATGCTGTTTTGCTGTTTTAGATGTGTAATATCTACGTAAAATCAAATACCTGTTCTTCCATTTGACAATTATACACAATGTTCTGCTAGTTTATTCCATAAAATCTGACTAAATTACATTAAGATTTGCGTTTGTGCCATGGCAAAAAATGCAAAACCGTTCAAATGTTATTACCAGGCGCTCTATCACTCCAATATAAGAACAGTCTAGAAAACAAGGAAGAAAATATTTTGACTTCTTTTTCAATGTGTCATGGCACCTTTTATTTCGTAACATTATGAATAACCTTCCAACTTGATCATTGTACACTATATGATGAACTTCATGACATTATTAGAAAATGTGGGCAGTCAGATCAGTATCACCAACAGTAGCAGAAGGAAGCAGCATTTCTGTCAGAAGCTGATACAGAGAGAGCATGACCGCTCCTTGTAGGAGAGGCTAACAGAGCAAGATAACCAGAGGCACAACAGGAAGCATGACATATAGAGTGTGGGAAGGGATAAATAAGCATGAGCGCCACTCGGCTGCTTGAAAGAGGAAAGAGATGACACCCAAAAAAGTTCACGCAGGGGGTTAGGGGGCAAAAAGAAAAAAAAGTCACGCACACAAAAGGAGAAAAGAGCAAGAGGGGAAAGGAAAGGAATCAGCACAGAAATGCAACAGGACCAGATCAGAGCCTAAAGACTCTTCATTCTAGTTAACACCAGACTTAGAATTTGTGTTAAATTCTAGACTTTAACAATGTTCAGGAGTTTTAATACACTGGATTTATCCATCACTAGTGCAACTCTGGCCTCTATCAGTCAGGATATAGTGCTGCCACTCATCAAGGTACGCCAGAGCACTTGTATACTAGTGCGCACTCAGGCCAACAATGTGCGACCCAACCAGGATAAGCAGCTAAAAAAAGTAACACACCGTGGCCAAAAGCATGCAAGCAATTTGGGAAACACTTAAAAAAAGAAAAACAAAAAGAAAGAAAATAAATACATCTTGGGAATAAAAAAAATCTTAATACATTATCTTAAAATTTTCCTTTTCTTGTTTGTGTTTCATATATATATATTCTAAACACACATCTTTGTACATTTTGGTATAAGTTCTCTTTCTTGCAGGGAGATTAGAGGGGAAAATTTGGTGTTCAACGGTAGAAGGGGGTTGAGGTTTTCGCGGGCAATCCCACGTCCCTGTTCGCCTTGTGCTGAGAAGGGATGGCATGGCACCACACCAGTGAATTCTCCCTTCAAAAACATTTGCTTCACACTTAAGTCTGTTATTCCCTGCGGTGGCTGTGGATGATGGGGGGCGGGG